ACTTTATCACAATATACTAATTTTTTGAGAAGGACCTGTATACTATAAGTATCCATTAAGTATACTAATTTTAAACTTAAAATAAAAAAGTATACCTCCAGTTTACTTTTTATGTACTCATCTGAGATATACTTAACCAAGTTTCTATGACACTATACTTGGCTTGTACTAATAGTTTACTAAAGTGTAAGTATACTTAGTCTATACTAATGTTTAAACCTTTGGTCAAGATAAATATTAGTAGTACACTTTTCACACAAATAGTTTATTTGTAGTGCACTTCATGATTAAACTAAAAATATACTTAGATTACTTTCAGTATACTTCTGAGTATACTCTCATAAACTTATTGGGAGCCAATTTAGTCCTTGAAGTATACTTGTTAATAAACTGCTAGTACACTTATATCAGTATACATGGTAAATAAAAGTACACTTAAGGAAACACACTTTTATATACTCCAGTATACTTAATGACATGTAGTATATTTAAAGTATAATTAAAGTTTACTTTTTATAAACCAAAAAAATAATAATCCCAATTTACAAACAAGTTTTACATCAATATACTTTCTAGTACACTGCAGGTACATGGTGCCTAGTGTACTTGATATACTTAAACTTATACTCAAGCATACTTATTAAAATGAACTTCAAGTATACTACTTTCTGCTAAGGGATACCAAGTTTGGTGTATCATCTTTCTGCCTTTCTGTGTGAAAGTTACAACTTTCAGAAATTGTAATGGAAGAACGGATGGAGACCACTGTTAGGTACCCCACATTGGCAACGGGGGACAAAAATGCTATCTTTCCTATGAACTTGTAAAAGTTTTATTTTTCCAAGTTACACAATAATTAAACACCTATCATTCCTTGAAGGAATGCACATCACCCGCCGTATTTCATGTCAGACAATTAATCAAATATCTTGAGAAATTAGCTGCTTTAGTACAAAGTTGAAAATAAAGTATGATCTCATGCGATATTGCAGGAGTTCACACTCAGAGTGGAAGTGCTGTGGATGACTCTCAGCTAATGTCACACCAAATTATAGGCCAATATCAACAAAACTGACTAAGCAACAATTTTTGTATTGTTAAAGGGGACAAATCATGGTTGGTTCATATTTTTCAACCCATTCATTTTTCTCTATTTCTATGATATTTACTGAACTGAGTTCAGAAAATGTCAGGGTCAGATGGACAAGTCTTCCATTGTTGAATTTTTTTAATTACTGTTTCTGCGCTGCTATATTGTCAAACTAGAATAGCTGGAGGGGGGCGGAGTGTGAAGCGCCTGGTTTGGATTTAAAGAGACAGCCTCAGTAAGTAAGGCAAACTATCCATCCATCCATTTTCTTCCGCCTATCCGGGGTCGGGTCGCGGGGGCAGCAGCTTCAGAAGGGAGGCCCAGACCTCCCTCTCCCCAGCCACTTCTTCCAGCTCCTCCGGAGTTCCCAGGCCAGCCGAGAGACATAGTCCCTCCAGCGTGTCTTGGGTCTTCCTCGGGGCCTCCTCCCGGT